CGCCTCTGCGCGGCCCCGGCGCGGCCTCGGCCCTGCCGGCGCCTCCTTCCCCCGGCGAGCGGGGCGCCGGGCACCTGGCCATGCTGCATCGCTCATCCCGCCGCAGACTGCATCGCGTCCCGCCGGGCCCGTAAGTGCGAGAAGAACCAGCGGGAAACAATTCATTTCTCTATTATCAATAATATGTTTTTTCCAAGAGTGAGTTTATTGTCTTTGGGTCTGCGGTTCATGACTGAGTAAGTATCTGTGAACATCGCCACGTGCTCTGAGCAGTCCCGAGTTCGTACCTGACAGCCTGACGAGCCGCAGAGCGAGGGCTAACGAGACTAGACACCGCGTGAAGAACCGCGGGTGAAACCCCCCTCCCTCGAATGACCCTGGCAAAACCGCTCAGAAATGCAGGGATTTCATCAGCTTCACGTTTTCGACTGGTGTGGACTACACTAAAAGAAGGTATTCGCCTTTGCTAGTCAGTATTTATTCAGAGATTTCTGCTGTAAGTCCAACCTAGCAATAACAAGACAGAGTGCATAGAGATGCAAAGCACAAGCACTCTACGTAGTTTGGTTTGTTTCTGTTCGACACAAACATGCTTGATGCAGAAAGATAAATGTAAACCCCATATCCCAAAGCCTATCTGAGTAGTCAGTAAAACCTATTCTCAAATCTAGACAAAATAGAAGAAAAAAAAATGCATTATGCATTTCTTTTCAGTTTGGTCAAACTTTCCATGGCTCCCGACCGCTGAAGCAGTCCACCCAAGACTGCTCTGTTGCTCTCTCTTCCTGAAACTGTGTCAGTCCGGACCGCTGAGCACAGACAGCTTTGTTCTAACACCACGAGCTGTATTCTCAGCCCTCCAGAAAATATGTCAGCTATAAATGGAAGGCAGCACCTTAGCATTTACAGAGAAGTCAGCTGGCAGCCAGCACGGGACTCGGCATCCAGGTGCCCTGGCCTCCCAGGGAGCACCTTTGCCTACTAAGCAGGTATGTCTTGCATGAGCAGCAACTTCGGGATGGGTTTTGGGAACAGGTCCAGGGTAACTGCTTGGTTGCAGTGTCACTCGTGCTACCTCTCAGAGAGCACCTTTGAGAGGCATCAAGGTGCGCTCGAGGGAGTTGAAAGCAAGTAAATACTCAGATGGGTCAGTGGCCCAGGTGACATCCACGTCCCATTTGCCGCATTGCCAGTATAAAGGATACATTGAAGAGCAAACACCACCACAGTTACGGGCAACCAGAGCCCAGGCTGCAGCCTGCACGGGAAATGGGAAGCATGTTTCCTCAGCCGGGGTGCTTGGTCACGCCAGCGTTGCTCCACTGTTCCTGTAATCAGTGTGTGGAGCTTGCACAACCTCAGCCACATCATTCTCCTCCATTCCCCCACCTCGCCCAGGCATTGCGCAGCTGACTGCACTGCCCCAAATACTGAGAGAAAATGAAGGTACAGAACCAGCAAACTAAAATGCTAAGCCTGGATCTCCTCGAGAGCCCGGCTTATCACACAGTCCTGGTGAACAGTGCAGCTGGCAAACTGGAACCTCTTAAAACCTCAAATGGCCCCAGGTCTAAACCACTCCACCCTGGGGGGGACAGAACTGCAAATGCTCAGGCTGTTTCATCTGCGAAGAGCATTTCTTGTGCTCGTTTTGCACCTTTTTCCAATGCTGTTTTCATGCAAGCATCCGTAATGATACAGTAAGGAGAGTGGAACAAGGAGAATAAATACGCTCATTGAGAACTCCTTTAAGTGGATTTTCTTTTATCTTTTCCAAATTGCAGTGTTCCTAAGAACATGTCAAACCCTGACATAAACTGACTTAGTTCCATAGTAGAACTCAACTCAGTTTTATTTTGGCAAAACGACACAAAGAAATCACATCCTTCATTCAAATAGATTAGCAATCCGTTATGTGTAATACTGAGTATCCCATTTTTCAGTGGTACAAACATAAAGTGTTAAAATAATTGCCTAAGACAAATGCTTTTTAAATGTCTTCATTTAAAGATACTAAATCTAGTAGTTTTTTCCTGATTTCTTTCATAAGGTAGTAAAATAAACAAGCATTAAAGGTTAAAAGGCATCTTATTATCTTACTGGTCTTTAAAATGTACTTTTATGTTTCTTTGTTTACTATAAAGTTGTTGGGAAATGGAAAACAGTCCAGAAAAATCTCTGAGTTTTCTCAAAAAAAAAAAAGTCTAAGGTCAATTTGTGACCAGTTATAACTCATGCACTGAACTCCTACTTCCGCATTGCAAATGAATTCTAGGCAGGCCAGTTGTTTTTTTGCTTTGCAGAATGAAAATTCTGTTTTGTAGGACTTCTGTAAGACCTCTTTATATGAGGCTGATCACTCCCTGAGAGGAAGAAACACAGCTGGTTTGGCTTTCAAAATAAAGCCATATGCTGAGTATTGAGGCCAATAATGGAGAAAGATGTGCAGAGAAGAAGCTCTAAAAAACTATGGATATTCCATGAGGAAACAAATATAGTAAAATCCAGCTAGATGAAAGAAGAAAAATGTTTCTTGGGAGGCAATTTTTAGGATATACCAACTTTTACAAATGAGAACGTGGAGTGGGACCATGCAGTTCTTGTAACTACCTGAAAGGAGGTTGTAGTGAGGTGGGGTCAGTCTCTTCTCCAGAATAACTACTGATAGGACATGAGGAAATGGCCTCAGGTTGCACCAGGGGAGGCTCAGGTTAGACATTAGCAAGAATTTCTGCACAGAAAGCGTGGAAGGTCATTGGAACAGGCTGCCCAGGGAAGTGGTGGAGTCCCTGGCAGCGCTCAAGAACCGTGTAGATGAGGCACTTAGGGACGTGGTTATTAGACATGGTGAGGAAGAGCTGATGGTTGGACTTGATGATCTTGAAGGTCTTTTCCAACCATAATGATTCTGTGATTCTGTGATTCTATGAATCATAAAGTCCTTGATGTGAGTTACCAGCAGGGTAAAATACCGGGGAAAGGAATGTAGTCGACCAGGCCATAGCAGCATCAGTGAAAGCCCTGTTTGGTCTATGGAAGAAGGCAGTAAGTATTATTAACCTAGCTAAGATTCAGAAACTTTGAAAAGATAAATCTGTCTGTCTAAATTATCAACACATCATTTAATCTCTGAATTTACTCAGCATTTTTATTTTCCTCAGTGTGCTGCCACTCTGTGCTGCATACACTCTTGCATTCTCCGTCCAAATGCTCTTGTTCATCCTGTTAGATAACCTGCACAGTCTCACTTGGACACTGAATCTGCACCATTCTTTACTGGCCACACATCTCAGTACAGAGGTAGGTAGACGGTGGGTAAAGTGATTTCATGGGACTACTCAGTACATAAAATGCCCATTCCCAGCAAAATCTCAAACTGATATGCAAATAACATTCCAAGCCTATTAGATGATTCATTTTTTAAGCATGCCTGCATTCACAATGTTGAAGCCATGCCTTATGAGTCTCTAAAACAACCTTTAAACTTGCAAGAAATTAAGTCTTTATGAAAGTCAGTAAAAAGGACAATGTCATTTGAATGCCCCGTTTATAGCATCTGCCAGCCCAATCAATCTCTCATTTTCAGAGTTTGCCTTCACTGGGGTAAGCAGCAGAAGATGATACTCAATGGACATAACAAAAGCCCATATCTGAATTGGAACAAATTATTGTTGTCATAAGTGACAAGAACATTTTTACAATTTATGAATCACATCATTACAATTTTGGTAGTCTATCCAAGATTATGTAATGCAGACAATGTTTATGTTTTAAAGCTAAGTATAGAGGAAACAAATTGTATTTCTCTAATGTGCTGAAAATGGGTAGGCAATTCAACAGCTGCAGATAAAATCTTTGTGAATGGCAGTATCTATTCCATTCCAAATATTTTTTCATCACTTTTTTTTTTTTCCTTTTACAAGAGCACTGGTGCTAATTTCCTCCTAGTTTAAAAGTTCCTGAGCGTGTGCTTGTTTCCCTTATAACATTCTGCATGAATACAGTCTTTGAGTAAAGGCATGCAATATATAAAATCAGAGCGAGAAAGAATGACACGAATTGGGTCATCTGCTGAAGTCACCCGACTGTGAGAGCGCACATGGTCTTTAGAGCCCCTGATTCTCATCCCTGAACAGGGCAGAGCAGCACAAGCGATGCCACTTGTTCACTTAGGAGACCACCCAGGTACAGTCTCTGTATGGAAAGTTCTCCCATTCTTCTCTTAAATTGTCTCATTATATTGTGCTATTAAAGCTTGTGATACCTGATTAATCACTCTGAAAAATTTCTTTCCTTCTTTGCGTGAATAAGTAACTGGTGTAAAGTTCACCGATACTGCTGGCAGTCTGTAATTAACTTTATTGTGTGGCTTTATGTTTTTCAGCAGCAAAGTGATGGCACCAGTCTCTGGAACCCATTAGTGACAATGAGGTACAATGTTTAAAAATAAAGTTGGCACTAGACAGTGAAAGTGTCACCATCACTAGTTTATAGGCTTTTTCTTAATAACTCTAGTACCTAAGCTTTAAAGGTGGTCCAAAAAA